TTCGGACAGTTCTTTATTTTATTTTTTTCAAAATAACAAGCAAAAAACGCCGCCGCAAAAGCAACATAAATTTTAGAAAATTTGAAAAGTAACGTTAAAATTTAAAAAGTATTTAGAAAAAAATATAAAAAAAAAATTGAAAATATGCAGAAGTTTTAAATAAAATTTAAAAAAATATATATTAAACTAATATTTGCACAACGGAAATGAAATATGAACAAATTGAATTGAAGAACTTGGAAAAATGAATGTGCAGAAGCAAACATTAAAACATTTTAAATAAATTTAAATACAAGTTTCAGAAGTTTATGAATTGAATAAATATTTAAATAATATCTGCGAAAGTTTGACAGTTTTATGAATTCTGAAAATTATTTAATAAAAGTTGGACAAGTAAAATTAACAAAAAAAAACTCAAAAATTATTTGAATAAGTTTTACAAGTTTTTGAATTCAAAAAAAAATAAGTTTAAAAATTTCAAAAAAAATTTTAAAAAATAATTGAACAATTTTTCCAAGCTTATAAACTTAAAAAATATATATTTGAAGAAGTTTATGAGTTTGAAAACCAAAAAAAAAAAACAGTTGCAAAATGTGAGCTTGTTTTCCAAGTGAATAAATTTCAAAAACAATTGAAAAAGAAAAATGGAACAAATTGTGTGAATTATGAGCATCAAAAATTTTTAAAAAATATGTGTACAGCAAAAAAAAACTTTAAATAAATATGTTGACAGCTTAAAATAATCTAAATACGTTTAATCTTAGACAAATATTTTGAAAAACATGCTCAAGCCCAAAAAGACATTTGAGAGTTTTTGGATTTGAAAAATTTCTTAAAAATATTAAAATAATATTTTAAGAAAAAATTTAAAAAAAAAAAAAAATTTTTTTTCATATGAATTTTGAATATGAATTCGAAAGTTTGGGCGCGCGACTTCTTGTTGTTGTTGTTGTTGTTGTGACTGTTGCTGCTACCAGAGTAATATTTTGTTGTTGTTGTTGTTGCGTGTGTTTGCGTTTTATTGCTTGTTTTTTTTTTGTTTTTTTGTAGCCGGGCGTGTCGCGTGTTGCAACTGGCCAAAAGCCAAGTCTGAGGCTTTTCTGCTTTTCATTTTTTTTTTTGTTGCAGTGCTAAGCCAAGACTATTGTGAACTGAGTGATTGTGACAGAACGTCAGCTTGAAAGGCTGCGCAAGGACCCTTGGATTACCTTGCGGGCCCAACAGTAGCCCCCCCGCCAAGCAACAGCTGCCGCTGTGCTCAGCTAAGGTAAGCCACACCCACAGCCGCCCTTCCACATTTCCGTTAAGCTGCTAAATAATGCTGATTATCATTTGCTGTGCTTGTTGCTTTGTAGTTGATTTTGCGGTGCTGGCAATGGCCAAATGCAGCTGCTATTTGTGGCCTGCGGATGTGGCCACTGATATGGCCCCTGCCCCCGCCCATTAAATTAGAGTCTGGTCTTGGGTCCGGGTTAACGTAAACAGCATACCGCAACCTTTTGCTTGAGGTTAGAGGCGAGCAGGAAGCTTGGGCTGGCTGTTGTGCAACCCTTTTGAACCGCAGGCTGATTTTTTTGCTCGAGCTGAAATCGAAACATTCTGCGGGCTTTATATTTAATTTGCATGGCATTTTCGGGCATTTACAATGGCCGAGACAAAAGCAATAAAAATCCCAACTCTCACACACACACACACACACACGCACACAATTTTGAACATGTTGCCCGAAGCTGAACTGAGCTGAGCCGAGCATTTGAAATTGGCATTTCGATGGCATATTTTGTTTTCGATTTCAATTTCTGAACATTTTGCCGTTGCTATCAAATGCCTTCACACATTCACATTCACATTCACATTCACATTCACATTCACATTCACATTCATAGCATATCATCGTTTCATGCTTCATGCTTGTCGCATAGCCACAAAAATATCAAATTTTCCTCTCGTTTCATTTCATTTCATTCTCTTTACATGCTTCACAATTTCTGTTTGCATTCTTGACGAACTTCCAATTATTGTGGGCCGTTTCTTCTGTTGTTGAGGTGTTTGACAAATTGTTTAAATCAAATATGATTGAATGCACAAAGAAATTATTCGGCGTCGCACGCCTCTTATTCTAGGCACACTTTCATTTTTATTATAAGAAATTAGCAATTTTCAAATTTGAACTGGCAACTTCTCGCTTGTTGGTTCGACGCTCAGATAGACTCTCGGCGTCTTGGTATAAATTACTCTTCCTGAGGTTTCTCCTTTCTGCTTGCCCATCTTCCCCTTCCAAAAGAAAGCTTTCATTTATTTTTTCTTTCCATCACAGTGCTTAATGAACTCTTCTGCACTTCCATTCCCATTCATGTTACAATTTTCATTCTAATGAAAACATGTCTCAGTTTTCGTATGAATATCTAAAATTTAACTCTGAGATATTAGTTATATATCCATCCATATGTCTGTCCGGCTGTGCGTATACTCAATCTCAGAGACTAAAAGAGCTAGAGTCTAGAAAATTGCTACGCAAATCGTTATTGAACTTTAATTTTTAACTATATCTCAAAAATGATAGCTAGACCCTCGTCTAGTATACACAGCTTCCCTTTTTGGTTATCTTTCTCGTTCAGCCGAAAAGTGTAAGAATCTTGGGCTTTGGTATTTTCTTATATTTGAATGCCATATTTAAGTCCAGAAAGTTTGATTAAAATGCGATTATTACAACCAGAGTTAATCAAGCATGAATTGTTTATAGTGCGAGCTTTGGGGCAGATAAAGCACAGGGCAGATAAGGAAAAATGCGATGCAGGAGTGGCTGTATGTGTGTTTGTGTGTGTGTTTATCTGTGTGTGTGTATGGAATAAGCTAGAAAGTGCTGGCTGCGAGAGAAAGACAGACCTGAGAACTAGCTAGAACGAAATGATGAGAGGTAAATCGAATCATGCGTTAATATTCATCAAAATTTGCGCTCACGAAGTTCAATTGAACGTCTTATTTAAATGAACTACTAAGCTTATGCAAATGTTTGTGAACTAGCTCGCTCAGTACAGTAGTTGCAATGTTCATAAGCGATCCAATCGATGAACGTGTTCATGAACTCAGTCAAGTGCGCGACTGCAAGATGAACCATGGAACTGGTTCACCAAATTGAACTAGCAAAGTTCACTGCAAGGAACATAGTGAGGCATCTTTTTCGACAACATTGTTCATAAACTTAAGTCAAGTTCACGACTCGATCATGAACTGGTTCACCTAAATTGAACTAGTATGGCACACTTCGAAGAACATAGAGAGGCGTCTTCTGTGACAAAAATGCTAAGTATCTGTTTATAAACTGATTCAGGAGCTGTTAATATAAACTGCGTCAAGTTCACGGTTCGCAAATGAACGATTGAACTGGTTCACAAGTTTAGTTCTTCTGTGACAACAATGTTAATTAACAGCTTTGCATTCATTCAAGAGCTATTCAAATAAATTGAGTCTTGTTCCAGACGTGAACTAGTTCAACAAATTGAACTAGAGAGGTTTACTCCAAGGAACAGAGAGAGAGAGGGGCCTTTTGCGACAACTATTTTAATAAACTGTTTAGCACCTATTCAAGCGCCAATTGAAAGTAATTGGCGAAATTGAGGCGAAAACGATTTGTGGAACAGGGAGTTGGATTTGCTGGCATTATTTATGGTCGTTATTTTAACTTGGTGCTTCATTCGCTGTGTGCTTTCCGCGTCTCCTTTTCATTGCACACTTTGGCGCGTCGCTGCATTACTTTTTATTGCATTGCCAGCACAGCGGCAACAGCAATTGCTGCAGCAGCAGCAGCAGCAACAACAGCAGCAACAGCAGCAACAGCAGCAGCAGCAGCAGCATATTTCGTTATTTTAAATTGTATTTCCACTCAAGCAGAACTCATTGGAAGAGCAAAGCGAAAGGCGAGAACAGAGAAAAATAAGAAGGCAAAACGAAGGGAGCACAAAGTACGACGAAGGAGGACGCAACGCGACGCGTTAAGTGCTAAAAGCAGCAGCGTTTCTCTTCCATTTTTATTTTATGCCTTCATTTCTTAACATATATTTTTATTTGTATCTTGAAATTTGTGTGCCAACAAAGAGAAAAACGCCCGCCGGCAACAGCAGCAACAACCGCAGCGACCGCAGCAGTTGCAACACAGTCCAAAGCAGAGACGCGGCATTGCAGCCGCAGAAAATGGCCGCAGCAGCAGCAGCAACAGCAACAACAACAACAGCAGCAGCAACGTGCAGCATATTGGGCAACTGAGTGAATGAATGAGAGCAGCGACAGCTGCGACGGCTGCGCGGATTGCTGAAGATGTTGATGAAGACGAAGACGAAGATGCCGAGCAGCCAGAAGTGCTACACGACAATGCCAAGTGCCAACAGCAACAACAACAATAACAACAGCAACAACAAACAGTGCAAAAGGGGAAATTAAGTGCCAAAGGCAACAACAGTTGCAGCCGCAACAGCAACAGCAACAGCAAGTTTCGCAGCGTCAGCGAAGCAAAATCAAAACTAAATTTACATAAGAAAACAAGACAACACAAAGCAAACGAGCAGCGCAAAAGGCATAATCAAAATAAGCAGAACAGCAACAGCAACAACAACAGCAACAACAGCAGCAACAACAAGCACAACAGCAGCAACCGCAACATGGCAGCTGCTGCATCTAGCAGCAGTGGGCGTGGCCAACGTGTTGCCGCCTTGCGGTTAATATGGCTGCTGTTGCTGCTGGTGGCCAACAGCAATGGCGAGGCGCAAGCAGCACCAGCAATGCCGGCAACTGTTGTAGCTGCCACACAGCAGCTACAGTTTGGCGTTGAGGGCGACACGCCCACACTGATTGTCGCTGCCAAGCAGCAGCAACACGAGCAGCAGCAGCGACATGAGCAACAACATGAGCAACAACACGAGCAGCAGCAGCAACATGAGCAGCAGCAACAACATGAGCAGCAGCAGCAGCAACAACAACAATACGAGGAGCATTGGCAACAAAATGAGGAGCATCACAATACAGTCATCACAACAACGGCAGCAGCAAGCACAGCAGCAACAATTGCTGCTGTCAATGAAAGCAGCATGCCAAGCACCAATGTATTTAAAGTGCCCGCAACAACAACAGCAGCAACTTCTACAACAACAACAGCAGCAACCACAATTGCTGGCAGCAACACTTTGAACATGAGCCAACTGCAACAATCAGTGGAGTCGGTTGTGCAGCTGCTGGATCTGGAAATGACAGCCGCACCAGCAACTGGCAATGGCCACGATGGACGCAAGCTGACCAAAAAGAAGCAGCTACAGCAGCAACACTTTGTGCCAGCTGCAACAACCGCCAAGGAAACAGCAATGGAAACGGAAGCCACCACCACAACCAGCACCACTAGCACCACTAGCACCACCAGCACCACTAGCACCAGCAGCAGTGGCGGCAGCCTGGAAAGTAGTCAAGCGGCCGCGCTGTTGCCCGTGCCCAATGGCTATTTGGGGCCCATTTTTATGGGCGAGAAAACTTTTAGTGTGGTGCATCCGCTTAAGAAACCACAGGCAACCACAGGCACCAACCACCAGCAGGAACAGCAGCAGCAGCAGCACGAGGACTCCATTGAGCTGCAGCTGCGCCAGGGACGCATCGTGGAGATATTGGCGCCAACGGCTCTGCTCGAATCGAATGTGGAGAGCAGCTCGTCGCGCCCGGGCCCCAGCACAACGACAACCACAACCACGCTGCCGGCAGCTGCACCACAAACACAGTCGGTGCTGTCGACAACTGTTTTTCAGGTGCCGGAGCTGCAGCAGAGCAGCACCACACGTCTGCCCATGCCGGCGGCCGAGATTAGCGTCGCGCCGGCACCGCCGCGCACCGAATCCAAGATATCCGATATACAAATCGAGGTATACGACTCGACGGTGGACTCCATAGTGGCATCCACGAATTTCCGGGACAATCGTGGCTACTATCCGCTGCCGCTGGAACCGACGCTGGCCACCGCCAGGCCGCCCAGCTCACCAGTGGCCCAGGAGCGCTTCACCCAATACGTAATCGATCGCGCCGATGTCTCCACACAGCCCGCAGCGGGCGCTGTTCTGGGCGTCGGCATGGACAAGCCGGAGCCGGCTGCCATCGAGATACACATCAATGTGTCGGAGGCGTTTGGCAATGAGAGCGAGGATCTGGAGTTCTCCTACCGCCAGCCGGCGGCCAGCGAGACGAAGGCCAACAAGCCCAACGACGAGATACTCGTCGTGGAGATCATTGACAACAGCGCCGGGGACAACAGCACAGAGAACACGTTCAGCGACGGCATGGAGCACATGAATCTGAATCCCATGTTCGGCTATCCGTATCGCTCGGATGCACCGCCGGCGCCGGCCGTGCGTCCGCCCCACGATTCCGCCGACGAGCTGTTCATGGCGGATACGAAGAGCATTGAGGGCTTGCCACGCCCGCCGCCGCCGCCGCCACCGCCGCCGCCTCGCAAGCCGAGCATCGATCGCGACTCGGACACCATATTCTATATATCCAACACGGAGGTCAAAGTGGGCGAATCCCTGCCCACCGCCAGCAGCGCCGTCAACGAGCAGCAGCAACGCAAGCTCCAGTTCGAGAATCAGTTCTTTCCCGCCAGCTACGTGCTGGACCAGCAGCAGCAGCAGCTGCAGCGCAGCTCAGCTGCCACGCCCCGCTATGAGGAGGACATTCTACTCTCGCCGCAGCAGCACACCGCCGACGCCCTAAAGATACTGCGCAGTCCCAGCAGCAGCAGCAGCAGCAGCAGCGGTGGCGGGGGAGGAGATGGCGCTCCTCCGCTGGATGTGACCTATGTGGGTGAATCAGTTATTGAGGTGGAGCAGCAGTCGCTGTCCTCCACAATGGCGAGCCATGGCAGCTCCCAGCAGCCGGACATTGTCATACAGCCGGCGGTGCTGCCCGATTTGGCCATTGGAGTGCCCGTCATTGGCGAGCTGCCGCCACAGATTGAGCTCAAGGAGATCGACTATATGCCCGGCGAGCTGGTTGGCGCGGGACGCAACATCTATGAGAACGACATTGAGAGCAACGGCCTGGGCCTGGGCAACGATCCGGATGTCATCGAGAGCTCCATTCAGTATGGCGGCGATCTGATTGACGATGGCGCCGGCGGCGGCTTTGATGGCGTCGAGGGCTCCTATCCTTTCGAGAGTCCGGCCCACCGGCTGCAGCAGCAGGATGCACAGGGCGCTCGACACCAGTTTGGTCACGGCTTCAGTCATCTGCATCGTGAGCAGCTGCCTGGCGCGGAGCTACTGAACGCCACGCTCCAGCAGCACAACGAGAGCCTCAGGGGCTATGCCGATTCGAGTGGTGCATCCGCCATGGCGCCCCTGCAGCATGGGGAGCGCATGGGCAATGCCACGGCCCTTTCGGAGGATCCGCTCGCCGACTATGATGGTGAGTCCCGAGTGCACCCATTCCTCGACTATTGACTGACCCAGCTTCTTCCTTTTCCCTTCTTCTTTTCCTTTTGCAGGTTTTCTCAATCTCTTCGCCGTTTCCATGGGCCTCATCATTGTCATTCTGCCCGCTGCGCTCCTCACGTCCATGTACTGCGCCGTACGGTAAGTAAATACGTTTAAGGAAGAAACATTATATTCTAGCCTTAAGTGGGTCTGATACTATGTAAGCCACTAGCCGGCATTCCGCCAGCTATGACTAGGCTAACTTCATTGATTTCTGCCCGTGGAATGTTTAAAACAACTTTGCGTTCAAATATCCTAACTAGACTTAAGTCAAAATTTCCCAACCCCATAACTGGGTCAAATCTCATCCGATTTTCATAAGGTTTGGCTTTTTGTTCATGGTTTGACCTCTAAATCAATTTGGCATCAAAACCTGGCAACGAATTTTTTTGGTCAAAATTCATGTAAAAATTGTGCCTTCAAATATCCTAATTAGACTTGAGTCAAAATTTCCCAACCCCATAACTGGGTCAAATATCATCCGATTTTCATAAGGTTTGGCTTTTTGTTCATGGTTTGACCTCTAAATCAAATTGGCATCAAAACCTGGCAACAAATTTTTTTGGGCAAAATACATGTAAAACTTATACCCTCAAATATCCTATATAGACATAAGTCAAAACTTCCCAGCCCCATAACTGGGTCAAATCTCATCCGATTTTCATAAGGTTTGGCTTTTTGTTCATGGTTTGACCTCTAAATCAATTTGGCATCAAAACCTGGCAACAAATTTTTTTGGTCAAAATTCATGTAAAAATTGTGCCTTCAAATATCCTAATTAGACATAAGTCAAAATTTCCCAACCCCATAATTCGGTCAAATCTCATCCGATTTTCATAAGGTTTGGCTTTTTGTTCATGGTTTGACCTCTAAATCAAATTGGCATCAAAACCTGGCAACAAATTTTTTTGGGCAAAATACATGTAAAACTTATACCCTCAAATATCCTATATAGACATAAGTCAAAACTTCCCAGCCCCATAACTGGGTCAAATCTCATCCGATTTTCATAAGGTTTGGCTTTTTGTTCATGGTTTGACCTCTAAATCAATTTGGCATCAAAACCTGGCAACAAATTTTTTTGGTCAAAATTCATGTAAAAATAGTGCCTTCAAATATCCTAATTAGACTTAAGTCAAAATTTCCCAACCCCATAACTGGGTCAAATCTCATCCGATTTTCATAAGGTTTGGCTTTTTGTTCATGGTTTGACCTCTAAATCAATTTGGCATCAAAACCTGGCAACAAATTTTTTTGGTCAAAATTCATGTAAAAATAGTGCCTTCAAATATCCTAATTAGACTTAAGTCAAAACTTCCCAGCCCCATAATTCGGTCAAATCTCATCCGATTTTCATAAGGTTTGGGTTTTTGTTCATGGTTTGACCTCTAAATCAGTTTGGCATCAAAACCTGGCAACAAATTTTTTTGGTCAAAATTCATGTACAAATTGTGCCATCAAATATCCTAACTAGACTTAAGTCAAAATTTCCCAACCCCATAACTGGGTCAAATCTCATCCGATTTTCATAAGGTTTGGGTTTTTGTTCATGGTTTGACCTCTAAATCAGTTTGGCATCAAAACCTGGCAACAAATTTTTTGGTCAAAATTCATGTAAAATTTAATCCCTCAAATATCCTATATAGACATAAGCAAAATTTCCCAACCCCATAATTCGGTCAAATCTCATCCGATTTTCATAAGGTTTGGCTTTTTGTTCATGGTTTGACCTCTAAATCAATTTGGCATCAAAACCTGGCAACAAATTTTTTGGTCAAAATTCATGTAAAATTTAATCCCTCAAATATCCTATATAGACATAAGCAAAATTTCCCAACCCCATAATTCGGTCAAATCTCATCCGATTTTCATAAGGTTTGGCTTTTTGTTCATGGTTTGACCTCTAAATCAAATTGGCATCAAAACCTGGCAACAAATTTTTTTGGTCAAAATACATGTAAAACTTAATCCCTCAAATATCCTATATAGACATAAGTCAAAACTTCCCAGCCCCATAACTGGGTCAAATCTCATCCGATTTTCATAAGGTTTGGCTTTTTGTTCATGGTTTGACCTCTAAATCAATTTGGCATCAAAATCTGGCAACAGTATTTTTGGTCAAAATTCAAGTAAAATTTGTACCCTCAAATATAAGTCAAAACTTCCCAGCCCCATAACTGGGTCAAATCTCATCCGATTTTCATAAGGTTTGGCTTTTTGTTCATGGTTTGACCTCTAAATCAATTTGGCATCAAAACCTGGTAACAAATTTTTTTGGTCAAAATTCATGTAAAAATTGTGCCTTCAAATATCCTAATTAGACATAAGTCAAAACTTCCCAACCCCATAACTGGGTCAAATCTCATCCGATTTTCATAAGGTTTGGCTTTTTGTTCATGGTTTGACCTCTAAATCAAATTGGCATCAAAACCTGGCAACAAATTTTTTTGGTCAAAATTCATGTAAAAATAGTGCCTTCAAATATCCTAATTAGACTTAAGTCAAAACTTCCCAGCCCCATAATTCGGTCAAATCTCATCCGATTTTCATAAGGTTTGGGTTTTTGTTCATGGTTTGACCTCTAAATCAATTTGGCATCAAAACCTGGCAACAAATTTTTTTGGTCAAAATTCATGTAAAAATAGTGCCTTCAAATATCCTAATTAGACTTAAGTCAAAATTTCCCAACCCCATAACTGGGTCAAATCTCATCCGATTTTCATAAGGTTTGGCTTTTTGTTCATGGTTTGACCTCTAAATCAATTTGGCATCAAAACCTGGCAACAAATTTTTTTGGTCAAAATTCATGTAAAAATAGTGCCTTCAAATATCCTAATTAGACTTAAGTCAAAACTTCCCAGCCCCATAATTCGGTCAAATCTCATCCGATTTTCATAAGGTTTGGGTTTTTGTTCATGGTTTGACCTCTAAATCAATTTGGCATCAAAACCTGGCAACAAATTTTTTTGGTCAAAATTCATGTAAAAATAGTGCCTTCAAATATCCTAATTAGACTTAAGTCAAAACTTCCCAGCCCCATAATTCGGTCAAATCTCATCCGATTTTCATAAGGTTTGGGTTTTTGTTCATGGTTTGACCTCTAAATCAATTTGGCATCAAAACCTGGCAACAAATTTTTTTGGTCAAAATTCATGTACAAATTGTGCCATCAAATATCCTAACTAGACTTAAGTCAAAATTTCCCAACCCCATAACTGGGTAAAATCTCATCCGATTTTCATAAGGATTGGCTTTTTGTTCATGGTTTGACCTCTAAATCAATTTGGCATCAAAACCTGGCAACAAATTTTTTGGTCAAAATTCATGTAAAATTTAATCCCTCAAATATCCTATATAGACATAAGCAAAATTTCCCAACCCCATAATTCGGTCAAATCTCATCCGATTTTCATAAGGTTTGGCTTTTTGTTCATGGTTTGACCTCTAAATCAATTTGGCATCAAAACCTGGCAACAAATTTTTTGGTCAAAATTCATGTAAAATTTAATCCCTCAAATATCCTATATAGACATAAGCAAAATTTCCCAACCCCATAATTCGGTCAAATCTCATCCGATTTTCATAAGGTTTGGCTTTTTGTTCATGGTTTGACCTCTAAATCAATTTGGCATCAAAACCTGGCAACAAATTTTTTGGTCAAAATTCATGTAAAATTTAATCCCTCAAATATCCTAATTAGACATAAGTCAAAATTTCCCAACCCCATAATTCGGTCAAATCTCATCCGATTTTCATAAGGTTTGGCTTTTTGTTCATGGTTTGACCTCTAAATCAAATTGGCATCAAAACCTGGCAACAAATTTTTTTGGTCAAAATACATGTAAAACTTAATCCCTCAAATATCCTATATAGACATAAGTCAAAACTTCCCAGCCCCATAACTGGGTCAAATCTCATCCGATTTTCATAAGGTTTGGCTTTTTGTTCATGGTTTGACCTCTAAATCAATTTGGCATCAAAATCTGGCAACAGTATTTTTGGTCAAAATTCAAGTAAAATTTGTACCCTCAAATATAAGTCAAAACTTCCCAGCCCCATAACTGGGTCAAATCTCATCCGATTTTCATAAGTTTTGGCTTTTTGTTCATGGTTTGACCTCTAAATCAATTTGGCATCAAAACCTGGTAACAAATTTTTTTGGTCAAAATTCATGTAAAAATTGTGCCTTCAAATATCCTAATTAGACATAAGTCAAAACTTCCCAGCCCCATAGCTGGGTCAAATCTCATCCGATTTTCATAAGGTTTGGCTTTTTGTTCATGGTTTGACCTCTAAATCAATTTGGCATCAAAACCTGGCAACAAATTTTTTGGTCAAAATTCATGTAAAATTTAATCCCTGAAATATCCTATATAGACATAAGCAAAATTTCCCAACCCCATAATTCGGTCAAATCTCATCCGATTTTCATAAGGTTTGGCTTTTTGTTCATGGTTTGACCTCTAAATCAATTTGACATCAAAACTTGGCAACAAATTTTTTTGGTCAAAATTCATGTACAAATTGTGCCTTCAAATATCCTAATTAGACATAAGTCAAAATTTCCCAACCCCATAATTCGGTCAAATCTCATCCGATTTTCATAAGGTTTGGCTTTTTGTTCATGGTTTGACCTCTAAATCAATTTGGCATCAAAACCTGGCAACAAATTTTTTGGTCAAAATTCATGTAAAATTTAATCCCTCAAATATCCTATATAGACATAAGCAAAATTTCCCAACCCCATAATTCGGTCAAATCTCATCCGATTTTCATAAGGTTTGGCTTTTTGTTCATGGCTTGACCTCTAAATCAAATTGGCATCAAAACCTGGCAACAAATTTTTTTGGTCAAAATGCATGTAAAACTTATACCCTCAAATATCCTATATAGACATAAGTCAAAACTTCCCAGCCCCATAATTCGGTCAAATCTCATCCGATTTTCATAAGGTTTGGCTTTTTGTTCATGGTTTGACCTCTAAATCAATTTGGCATCAAAACCTGGCAACAAATTTTTTGGTCAAAATTCATGTAAAATTTAATCCCTCAAATATCCTAATTAGACATAAGTCAAAACTTCCCAGCCCCATAGCTGGG